GTCATTTTCGTAGACTGCACTTGCAACTAATAAGCTTTGTAAAACCTCACATTCTAGCTGCAAGAAAAATTACTGATGGGATGCACAGAAACTGAGCTGGTCCATAGAATCATAGAATTACCAAGGTGGGAAAAGACCACTAAGATCATCCAATCCAACCATCCACCTATCCAATGTTTCCCACTATACCATGTCCATCAGTACAACATTTAAATGTTTCTTGAACACTTTCAGGGACAGCGACTCCACCCCTCCTTGGGCAGCCTGTAACAGAGCCTGACCTCGGAGAAAAAGTATCTACCTCAGCCTTCTCTCCTAGGCTGTCTGGAGAGGAACATCTGTCAGGTGCCAGAACACAGTCCCAACTTCTTGTCCGGGCTGCCTGGATGTAATGCTATGGATGTGAGCAAGCCCTTTACAGCCTTATTCATTAATGCCCCCTCTCTGAAAGAACTCAAGGCCAGGAGGCCAGACTGGGTGGGCTCTGAGCAACCTGGTCTAGAGGGAGGTGTCCCTGCCAGTAGCCAGGGATTGCAAATGGATGATCTTAAAGGTCCCTTCCAACCCAAACCATTCCATGATTCCATGAGTCTATAATAAATACAGAGCATCCTCACCCTGGCACAGATACCTTGTGGCCACAGCTGTGTCAACTTTAAGGTGGACAGAAAGTTGCTTAGCAGGCTGCCTTTGGCTCACAAGATACTCTTCACTTTGCAGTGCAGCTCAAGGTTTCGTGCTGTTCAGCTCCTCACCTGATGAATAAAAATAATAAGCATTTAGGGAATAAATGAAATGTTAGGTGAATTGGCTGTATGGTAATGGGATTATCCAAAATAGTAACTAATGTCTGATTTCAGATATGTGGAACTAATCCCAGCACTGTCAGCAGGATCTTTTTGTTCCTGTTAAAGCAAAACTGTGAAAATGCTGCAGTGTTAGCTTGTATACTTAAAAAAGAAAAAAAAGAAAAAAAAAACTTCCTTCACCAAAACCCATAATTTTACATTATAATGTAAAAAGGACCAAACTTCAGTTGTGACACTCTGCATAGTTCTGACCCATGAAATGGGATAAGAGAGCATGGGAATGGTATCCACAACAGTGCAATTCTTTCAGAAGAAAATGGCAGTTTTTATGACTGTGTCTACAGCTCACCAGGTTCTAACTGCACATTAAGCATAATTTAATAATAATCATCATAATGATGTAATATGGCTATTAATTTTACTTCAGAGGTAATTTGCCTGACAACACTCAGTTATGATGCTGCAGCCAGTGTAAACATTAAATAAATGGACCAAAACACTGCTATTAAGACCTGAGAGAAAGTTTCAACATATACAAGGGCCAATTATTTGAGTTTAGAGAAGTGAGACAGCCAAGGGGAACCATCAGAAGTCTTATCAGCTCAAAGAGTGTTGAAAGTCCAGTGTGCAGCTAGATGAACAGGTGCAAGATAAAGCCCACAGCAGTGCAACCTAATCCTGCTTCTGCATTTCTACCATGCCAGGGAACAGAGACAGATGGAGCAGGAGGCCATGGAGCTGCCTCATAAGGATTTGCAGGGGCTGGCAGCTGCCCCATGCAGCCAAGATTGTCCTTCAGTCACCATCAGACACACTGGCTTCACTTGACACCCCTCAGACATGGGGACTTAGCAGGGCCTGAGCATCCAGTCTCAAGATCTTCACTGGTTTGCAGTGTTCCTGCTTGAACAGCCCACTCCTCCCAGTTAGAGTTTTAATTAATCTAAAATGTATTATTTGGATCTCCTAATTTTCGTGCTGATTTTGAAGAAGTCCAATTAATGCTGAGCTAAGAAGCTCCAGAGTCTCTGCATCCAGTTTTCATCTTCCCAGAAGGGATCCAGTTGAAGTGAAACAGTAGTCAAAATGTCAAATCACAGTTATTTTTAAATCCATTGTACACCAGATCTTTGGCTACACATAAGCCACATGCTTACCGAATAAACCACGCAGTACTTGTAAGCCTAAAGTCTTAAAACACCCTCAAGCAAGATGTTGCCTCATCCACAAACTTCAGAATTTAGAGCAAATCATAAGACTCACATTTCTTTTTTAGCAAAGTTTAAAATGATGACATAAAATGAAAATGTGTGTATTTGATAGTATATGATAAAGGAACAAGTTTAAGGAACCCTGGGCCAGCACAGACACAAGCTGGTAAACCCATGCAATATAGCCTTTCAGAAAGATCTTTGTTCTGCCTCCAGATGCATGCAGATTCACTGGCAATTACTTCAAGGGTCTCTGCAACTGTGGGACACTTTGTTCTGGAATCACTGTGGTCCACTTAGAGACTTTTTTTGTATTTGCAATCTAAGCTTTTAAAGACTTTCACATGCACGCAGCCGTTGATTGATTTTGTCTTTTTCTTGATTTGAACTTGCTTGCTTCAAAAGTCCTGACTTTTTCATTCCAGCTCTGAAATTATTTTGTCTAGCTATGGAAAATGAACAGGTATTAAATCACTGTGGGAATGGGAGACTAAATTAAAATGCAGAGATGGATCAAAATTTCAAATTCAGCTAGATTTTAATGAACTGTAACTCAAGCATATTTTGATTAATCTTCTTGACTTCTGCAGAAAATTGCTCCCTTCTTCTTCAGTGGTCAAATTAACGTTTCCTAAGCAAAACAGCAGGAACAGTGTGTACTTGGTTAGAATGCAGGAAGGTAATACTGTTTCGAAGGCACTTTGGTATTTTTTAATTTAATCTTATTGCCTTTTTAATGAAAACTCCAGATTTTCTGCTCATTTTAAAGTTAAATTTCTCCAGAAAAGGAATTAGAAACACATGAATGTCAGGAATGACACACTCCTTCAGAACAACCCATCCAGGTGTAAATGGTCTCATCATGCCAAAGGATCTGGTGGGAAGCCAGACCAGAGATGGATCTGAGACAGAAGGAATACATCAGTACTGGCTGCTCCCAGCCCTCTCCACCTCCAGTCTGGTGATGCCACCATCTCTGAGGCAGGGAGGTCCTATCAAACACTGCATCCATTCCAGAATTCTGCACAGGGACGTTATTATTAGTGGGCATAGTAATGATGGGTTGATGGGTTGATGGTTGGACTAGATGACCTTAGAGGTCTTTTCCAACCTTAACTATTCTGGTTAAGGAAATGGTGCTTTGGGAAGGTGCTGCACATCTAGTGCATTTGTGTCTTGTATAGTGCTCTGTGAGCTGCCAAGTTCCTCTGTCATTTTGTGTGGAAGATGATCTCCTTTAGACTAAAAATCGTACAGGAAATCTCGCTATGCGTAATTCTGTCATACGGCATCCGGTGTCCTTCCTTCCTACACACCTGTGAAATGAACAGTAAAACGGTAAGACCTTTGTATTTCTGTTCGTGTGTTATTTGAGAAGTGAAATGCAAACATGACCTGTGCTGCAAAACCAAGAAAAACAAAGGCCTGAATAGCCCAGTCAGGGAAAGAGAAGTTAAGATTGGTAAGCATAGCAGAAGTATGTTCACTTTTCTAGCAAGTAGTAAAAGTGAGGTGGATTTCATGCTAAAGCTTTAGTCACCACTCCTGAGTGTCTGCAATGTGGAGAGAAGTTCTGGAGAAGTACCACAGCGTGGAAAAAGCCAGCAAATAATATTGTAAATATAATGGTATAAATGCAAAAGTTTGAGTACTGAGAACAGCAGCTTTCACCCGTCAGAAATGAGTTACCTGAGTTTGAAGAAATGGTTCTAGAGGATGAGGGAAGAATTACCAAGAGCCATCAATACAGTCCTGAAAAAGACCAAACATTAAGCTACCTACATTTGTTCTTCCTGAAACTCTCCTTGTTTGGAGTTGGTAGAGAAATAACATCCATCTATATAGAATGTCATCTGTACCCACAAAATGAAAGATTTTGTTGTTTACCTTCTAAATATTTGATGTGTGGAAGACTTATCCAGAGGTTATATATCAGTATTTAATAAGTATTTGACATACAGTACTTAACTGAGGTTTTCTTAGGAATACATAGCTAATAATGTACAAATAATTAAAGGAAAGCCATCACATCCTCCCTATGTAAACACATTTTGTTGAGAATATGCATTTGCTTCATGAATTCCTTTCTTCCTAGTCTGCTGAGCTTCCTCCTCCATTACTGAGCAACAATATTTTATTGTTGTGCTTCCCTGAGTTGTCTGCTTCAGATGGGACATGTTCTCCAAGTTACAGCTCCCCACCACGTCCAGATTTTTTTTCAGCCAAAAGACACCCTGAATTAGACCTTGAACTCAGAATAGCTGCCTATCTTCATGTCTCTTAATGCAATCTGGTACCTTACCAATCTGTTGCACTACAGCAGCTGCCAGAGTGATGTTCAGCAGAGCTGTGATAGGAAGGTAACAGAGAAGATAGCCCCACTAATCTAAATTCAACCCCACATACTATTACAATGTCCCCCAGGAATTTTGCTGATGTTTGTACATTGACCACCAGCCCAAATGTCAAAGCAACGTAATTAAAAGGTTGCTCCAACCCCTTGGGAAACCAAGTCAACCTGTGGATCACAGGATCAGGACTTAGCTCCAACAGAGAAATTTTTTCCAGAAGCTCCTCAGCCTTGGCAACTGCTGAGTGTGGTGGTGTGGGTTTGTTACAACAGTCACCTGTCAGGGAACAAAAGGATGACAAAAGGAAGCCATACACATTCTCAACAAGCAGTCTGAGATTCAGCAGTGGGCGAGTCATTCACTGATTAAATACAGGAAGAAGAACTGCATTTAATAAAAAACATTAAGACTTTGGTCACAGATGTACTGCATGCTATTATACATGCACATAGAAGAAGGCTGCACACTATAAAAATTACTTTCTAAGCTCAACCTCATATGAGGTCCAGCCTAATGCTTTTCTGGCATGTGTCATTTTACATACACTTCTCCGCCTATTTGAAAAAATAATCAAGGTTTTGGGAAAGCAGTGGGTCGTTATAACAGCACTTCTTCCTTCTCTGTTACAGGAATGACATGCCAAGCTCGAAGTTCATATGTTACAAGTGAGATCCTGTGGGGTTATCGTTTCACCCCTGTCCTCACTCTGGAGGATGGATTTTATGAAGTTGACTACAATAGTTTTCATGAAACATATGAGACCAACACCCCAGTTTACAGTGCCAAAGAGCTGGCAGAGATGGCCAGCCGAGCAGAACTGCCCCTGACTTGGTCTGTTTCCAGCAAGCTGGACCAGCATGCTGAGCTGGAAACTGAAGAGGAAGAGAAGAATCAAGAAGACCAAAATGAAAGAAATGGTGATGTGGCAAACCTAGAGAACGAGTCCAAAGTGTAGAACCAGAGGTGTAAGGGCCACATGACCTTCTTTATCTTTTCCCTTTATGTTCCCCTTTTATTTCTTCCACGTTTTTGTTTTTCTTTCTTGTCATTATTAATTCTGGGAAAATAAATAGTTCAGATGTGAAATATCTACCTGCCCAGTTCAAACTCAAGAGTTTCACAGACTAAGTTAAGATGTAGGTTAAAGCTGCAATACCCATTACATACACTGGAATCTCCATCCCCACCCTGGTAACGACTGCTGGCTTCCTCTGCACTTCTCTGAGTTCAGACCTCCAGGTTTCCTCAAAGTAACAAAAAAAACCATCAGAATATAAACAAGGTAAATAAAAAGGAAGGACTAATTGATGCTCATCAAAGCAATGGGCCTTGGCTCCAGGCCTTTTTTATGCATTTCAGGACAGCTTTGCAAACTGGATGACAAGCCTTTGTAAAACGGGCCTTGCAGCTTTAAGAGGATGGTGAGCAGAGGGATCTGCGCCCCAACATGATACTGTACATATGCCTTATGTAATTACTTTCTCTTTACATTTAGTAATAAACAAAGCATGTACAAAAGTACTGTAGTAAAGAACTTCTAAATAATGTACATAGATGTGTAATTAATATAGGTTTAGAAAATGAGTTCTAGAAACATTGGGATGCAAATACAAGCTACCCCTTGAGTAAGCACTTCTCTTCTAATATCCGGAGTGTCATATTGATTCCCCCCTTATATCTATGGCTCTTTTAGTGCATGACATCTTCTTCAGTGTACCAGACTGGCAGCTATTTTAGAGTACCTCACTGTTTCCCAAACAGGTCATTTTATTGACTCTAAAAAGCCATAAGTCTGGGAGAGGGCAGGGTAGAAAAATTGTAACATACTTACTGATATACTGTGAAAATGTTTACAAATAAGGCAAATCGTTCCTGGGTATTTTCTCAGCAGTTCGACCTAAATTTAGACTGTGGCAAACAAGAATTTCTCTGCGCGCTCCTAATCTAGCAAGCATGTTTCATGCAGAGGTATCAGCCTTTATGTGCAATATCTAGGGAAACATCTCCCTTCTCCCCACTCAAACCATGGGATTTCAATTAAGCGGTTCGATGCACGAACAGCGCAGGCCACTGGAAACCAAGTGGGCCTGTCGCATGCAGATGGCAGCTACCCAGCCAGGAAGGAAACAGCTGAAGCTGCATTGGAAGAATTTCACTCGCCAGCAGCACCGGTGCTTAGTGGGTCCCAAAAAGTCACAAACCGCGTGCCATCTTTGGGTGACAGGCTTCAACAGGGCTTCTCAGCAAAACACACGGATCCTGCCGCCTGTGCTAAGGAGAGGGGGGGTCCCTACGTCAGCTCCTTGGCTGCCATAAACCACTGTAAATCCTATACACCCCAACTTAATGACTTCAGAATTGACGGGACAAAGACAGCTTGCATAGCTCACGCTGCAATGTCTGCATCCAGAGCAGAGCCAAACCATTCAATCTGTGGGTCATGCCAGGTCTGTGTGTGCTAAGTGCCACCTGCTCAATGCAGGTCATGTTGCTCTCATTTGGCTTTCTCCAGGCCCATCCGCAACTACATTTCTGTCAGTGAAGGAAAAGGAAGCTGCAGCCTTAATTTGTTGTTTGTTTGGTTGTTTGTTTTTTTTTACTTTTATACCTGCCTACTCTGGAAAGAAGGAACATATTGAAGGGAGTCCAAAGCGTCTTTTGTATAGAAACATTTACACTAAAATGGGAAGAAAATTTAAAAAAAATGAAAACAAAAAACAAAAAAAAAAACTCAAAACCCTCAGGAGAAACTCAGTGGGCAGGTGGAAATTTTGCACTGTGATATAGCTTTCACTTCAAGTACATACCTATTTCTTGCTTAAACAACTGCCCCTTGCTAATTTTCACCAGGTGTGGCTAATCCATGGGGTTCTGCAGGTCCTCCCGCTGTGCTTAATGCCAAGGAGGAAGAACAGGGGAAGGGTAAAGGTTTGCACACTGGGGATGGGCAGGGCAGGCTGAATAGGAAGCCTTGCTTCAGCTCTGAGCATCCTTTGTAAAGGCTTCCACAGAGCAGGATTACACAAGCAATGGATCTTTGTTCCATCCACCCAGGACGGCTGATTTGATCAACTCGGTAAGGGTTATTTACACCGATGTTTCATGAGATATGTAACTCACTTGCTGCAGACATTTTAAAGCTTGGTCATTTGCCCCAACAAAAGAACAAGCCAAGTCCTCCTGCTGACCCACCACAACCTATCCGTAATCACCCAGCGCTTCTAAGGCAGGATCACCTCAAAGCTCTGCTGGAAGACAGGAGCTCTGCAGCAGAGAACCTAGTGATAGCACGTGGGTAGCCAAGAGCCTATGTGTGTCAGTCTGGAGTCCTGGCAAAAGGTGCATGAGCTGAAAGCAAACCATTCCTCTGAGGATAAACCTGCTTTTTGCTCTCGGAATATTACCGGGCCTCTCCGTAATTCATTGCTGCAGTTTAAGAAAAGTTTGTGCTAATTAGAACAGCAGCTCAGGGCCCTATTGAAACCTTTTTTGTGTCCTTTAGCACAAAAAAATAGATTTTAAGCCACTGGGGCATGCGCATGTGTAAGCTATATTTTTGTGAATAGGGCACTTCAAGCTTAAGGTGTATGTGTTTGTCTTTTTCTCTCTCCCTTTCTGTATTTTACTGTCTTTGGTATTCATGTAGCACGGACTGTAAAGTTTATGAAATCTCATTTTTGTAAGATAAGCTTAAAAAAACAGAAGCCTCCAAAGCTTTCAATGAGGAAGCTTCACATAAACTTTGTACTAGAATGTCCCTATCAAACACCTCTATTTTTCTACAATGATTGATTAAGCAGTTTACCAATGTATTTTGTGTCAATGATTTCAACTGAATTGGTAAAAAGACAATTAAGAATTGAATGCTGTTAATTAACAATGGATTTTCAAGCCGTATATGCTGAGTGGCGTTTTCATTATAACAACCTGAGAACTTCATCTCCTAACCCTAAACAATATACTCTGAAATATCAGTGCCCCATGGGAATATTGTTGGCAAATCACATTTAAGGAACATAAGTAATGCAATATTTTTATTTAATTGGCTGCATAATTTATCGAGATCCATTATATCTCCATATACTTCACTCATACATGTTGATGTCTTTGTCTCAGTGTATCTCATAATTTGCAGGATCAAAAGAATTTCCAGAGATAAATGTGAACTTGTAGCCATCTACTTTAGCACTCGGTTCCTTCTACAAACAAGAACGCTGCAGATATCCATACAGACTTCATGCATAGTACTGCAGAGTCATCTCTTACTTCTTCTCAATCTCCCTAAATCTTTGTTCTACAAAACTACAACCACTGATGTGAGACATCCCAAGAAATGTAACTTTGATGGTCAAAGTGAAATGTCAGCTTCTGTGAATGGCCTTGCTACAAGCTTGTACGTCTCTAGACATGCAGCACATGCAGAATAGACTACACAGCCCTGAGTTAGCAGAGCTCTGAGAATCTTTTGCCACGTGGAGGAAGGACGTGTTATGACATAGAAAGGTCCCCAGCAGGCAGCTGCTAAATCAAGCAGTACAGTGTGCTTGCAAAAGGGAAAATGTTTGATGGAATGTTTGAAATTACCTCATGACAGGCTCTGGATTTACATGCCCAGCTTTGGTGCACAGAGGTGCCTAGTTCTGGTGTTGCCCATATTCTGCTCCAGGTAAAGAAGAAGCTCAGGCCTTCTAAAGACAGGGAATACATCTATCTTCTTTTCAGTAACATGGCACAAGTTCCTATTTTGCTCAACTGTGTAGCATTAGACTACTGAGGAAAAGGAAGACCTGGACTCAGTGCCTTCTTCAGAACAGGGAAATTCAAATCTTTGCCCTATGTCTCCCAAGAAACAAACCTAGCTATAATAATAACAGCTAAGTCCCAACACCCACGCCAAGGTCAGATGGATACTTGAATTCTTTCACTAGACCAAAGAAAGTTTAAATCCTTCCTTCATAAATTTTAAACAAAAGAATGGAAAATTCTTCACTCCCTATGAGGCTCTATCCTATTGACCAGGACAATGCCTGGCTGTGTGGCAGATAAAGGTACAATCCTCAGGCTAGGGGAGGCACACAATTCACTTTTCTCACCTTGTCCAGCAGTCAATCACTCTCCGCAGAAGTGCATCACCACAGCCTTTGTCTATGCTTCTGAATGCAAGTAGCTTGCACGTCTCCTGGGACCCCAAATCCTGCAAGGTCTGGGCTTGATGCATTCTGAACACCACTTACCTGAGCAGCCTTCCTGGGAGGTGGAAGAAAGCCAAGTCATTTTATGTCATGCCAGCTTCACTGTGAGACGGGTGCAGAGCTTACAGGGATGGATGGATGTACTACCTTCCTGGCAGAGGTAGGGGGAACGTGGGATTTCTGGCTTGTTGAGATCTGAATGGTGAATTTATACCATTTGCTCTTAATACTTGAAGTGAATTAGAGGCTTAAAGCTGAAAATGTAATGTCTATATGACAATGAGAGGGTAGGACACTTCTTTAGCTAACAGCAGATTCTCACCAAAAAGCATCCACTTCTTACTATTACTGTAATTTTTGTCTGCCAAAATACACTTCTTTTCAGAATATCAGCCCTGTTAAAAACTACATTACCTCATTCAGACACTACTTAGCCTATAAATCAGATTTAAGTAAACAAGAACAAACATTGGCTTCTCTTACACTCTTGTTCCTTCAGCTTATAAACGTGTTGTTTGGAAATTACTTGGAAAGCAGCATTCTGCCATCCAATTTATAAAGACAAGACAGGAAATCTATTTATTACTTATAATAAATGATTCTCTTTTATGCTTCCTGAGTTAATTTTAAACTTCTAGGATTAGCCTGTTGGAGAGAAGGGGTGTTATTGCACATTCTAGAGTACATTTCATTTTACGTATTTGGTTCAATATTATTTCCACTCATTCCTATTTTTTCAGCTTCCCTGGATTTTCAGAAACGT